GCTTCTTGTAGTTTCTGGTTTTTCTCTTACCGGCTTTACTTTTAATCCCATTGTTTGTTGTGTTTTATTATTATACTGTAAACTGCGTAGAATAGGGCTTTGCACTCATGGAGCGGTATACAAATCTAAGAAATAAATAAAATGTAATAAATTAATTTGTCCTCTGAAGATGCTGGCCACAGAGACTGGCGAAACGTTAAGAAGAAAAACCTCCAGAACACGGCCAAACAGCCTGAAAAACCTAAAACAACCATAATAAATTCCTCTAGCTGTGTAGCAAAAGTACAGGGATCCACACAGCAAAACTAGCTTTGAGTTCCCCAGAATAGTCTACCCCTTTTTCTCATCATATGGCATGTACAGTCTCAGTAACTCACTCTGAGACATTTGAAATAGAAAGAATAAAAGCTATTTGCTGAGACATTTGAAGTAGAAAGAATAAAAGCTATTTACTTACAGTTGAACAGATCTAACAGCAAACTGACAGAACATGGCTAACTGCTTTCAACAACAAGCCTCAGTAGACTCGCTGCTTCCACCGACTGTTAGTCCCTTCCCAGGACAACTGACTGTGACACAAGTAGAAGCACAAGTATGCTTTTCACATGTTATGAGAAGAGGCCTCAAGTGCCTCTTTATCTCCTTGAGTGCCTATTAGCTTGTGACGGAAAAGTTCTGCTATATTAGACATTGCCCTCCCTTGCAAACAGCCTGGAATCCTGACTACCAGCCACCTCTTCATCCCGAAAGCTCTTCACAAAGCTCTTGAGAGGACCTTTCATGAGATTAGGGCTGGGGGTCACACAACAGCTCTAATGGCATTGTTAAGGTTAAAGCAGATGTGGGGAAAGACGAAAATCCTTGTGCTCTAGCAAGCAGAATGCCAATTAGACACACAGTGTAGGCTCTGGGGAGACATAACGAAGCACTGTCAAGAGCATCCCCTGGCAGGAATGTAGTGTTGCGTGAATTCAATAATACGGGAAAATATTATGGCTGTCTCCATCTTTGCTATCTTTCCACAAGCAGGCAAACACCTTTCTCTTCAGGCAGGCTTGTCTAAGAGGGGTTTTAAAATCGGGATGGTTAGTATTTTCCTGCTTTCAATCCGCTTTAATAATGCTTTTATTTAACATTTTTAATACAATGTTTATTTAATTCTTTTAAAAATAGGAGGTTTTTCTTCCTAATGTTTTGCCAGTCTCTTTGGACTGGTGAAACGTTAAGAAGAAAAACCTCCAGAACACGGCCAAACAGCCTGAAAAACCTAAAACAACCATAATAAATTCCTCTAGCTGTGTAGCAAAAGTACAGGGATCCACACAGCAAAACTAGCTTTGAGTTCCCCAGAATAGTCTACCCCTTTTTCTCATCATATGGCATGTACAGTCTCAGTAACTCACTCTGAGACATTTGAAATAGAAAGAATAAAAGCTATTTGCTTACAGTTGAACAGATCTAACAGCAAACTGACAGAACATGGCTAACTGCTTTCAACAACAAGCCTCAGTAGACTCGCTGCTTCCACCGACTGTTAGTCCCTTCCCAGGACAACTGACTGTGACACAAGTAGAAGCACAAGTATGCTTTTCACATGTTATGAGAAGAGGCCTCAAGTGCCTCTTTATCTCCTTGAGTGCCTATTAGCTTGTGACGGAAAAGTTCTGCTATATTAGACATTGCCCTCCCTTGCAAACAGCCTGGAATCCTGACTACCAGCCACCTCTTCATCCCGAAAGCTCTTCACAAAGCTCTTGAGAGGACCTTTCATGAGATTAGGGCTGGGGGTCACACAACAGCTCTAATGGCATTGTTAAGGTTAAAGCAGATGTGGGGAAAGACGAAAATCCTTGTGCTCTAGCAAGCAGAATGCCAATTAGACACACAGTGTAGGCTCTGGGGAGACATAACGAAGCACTGTCAAGAGCATCCCCTGGCAGGAATGTAGTGTTGCGTGAATTCAATAATACGGGAAAATATTATGGCTGTCTCCATCTTTGCTATCTTTCCACAAGCAGGCAAACACCTTTCTCTTCAGGCAGGCTTGTCTAAGAGGGGTTTTAAAATCGGGATGGTTAGTATTTTCCTGCTTTCAATCCGCTTTAATAATGCTTTTATTTAACATTTTTAATACAATGTTTATTTAATTCTTTTAAAAATATATTTCAATAATTTATTGTTTTTAGCTTTTTTTAAAAAAATGAGGTAAGCTACCTTGAATCCTTTTATGGGGAAGAATCCATAAGGTGGAGTAAACATATTTTAAACGAATGAATAAAAAAAGAGGTTTAAATAAGAGGATTGTCATTTACTCCCATTCAACCCCCACTCTCCTTATCTCTCATCCTCCCTTTGCCAAAGCTTGGAAAATTTATTTTTTTGGTCTACAGTTCCCAGAATCCTCTGAAAAGGTCCAGAAAAATAATGCTTCCAAATTCTGCTTTTTTCATTTCGTAAGCGGACAGAGAGCAGGAAGCAAGAACCTATTTTTATCTGTTGGCTCTGTTGCATATATCGATGGCACTCTTGTATGATTATTGTATATAACAAGCGAAATAGTACAGCTAATTCCAGGGCTTGGACACAGGGTTGGGTTCTGGATTCAAAACATCTGAGCCCTATGAAGATGGCGCTAGTCTCATCTGACAGCAAGGTGGTTGCCAGGTGTGTGTGTGTGTTTGTGTGTTTTAAAAATCTAGATCAGGTTTAAAGGCAGTCCAGGAAGATATTGTGCACCTGAGGCAAAGAAAATGATGGAATAAAAGTCAACAGGATTGACTGCAGGAGATATCTAAAGTGATGAACACTACCCTCCTCAAGCCGGTTTAGTACCTTGGACAGCGCTTCTAAAGTTTGGACTCAAAACTGAAGCGCATACCTCTTCCTGCCCTGCCAGTTTGCCATCACCAGGCTTTGCCCAGCATCTGTTGCCTGTAAACACCGTCTCACTCCACTTTGTGACAGGGTGAGTCCTGACTATGTTCCTCTGCATTTAATAGCACCAAGAAAGTAAACACGTACCATGATCTTTCTTTCCTCTGAGTGGAGACTATATGGGCGGGGTGCTAAAATAGGAATATGCGATTCAACTGTGCTCAATCAGGCCTGAGGCCTGTCTTTGCCAAGATGCTGTAATGCAAGGGGCCAATCCAATGCCCACAGGAAGCCCACAACAGAAGAGGAGGAAGGCGAAAGTCTCCTCTTGCTTCTTCCAAAGCAACTTGTACTCAGAGGCATCCTTTCATTGACCCTGCAGCACATAGCAACAATGACTTATTTTATTTTATGTACATCTAGCACTCATGGCAGCGAATAACTGTAGAAATGAAAAGTAAAGCATAAAAACATTTTGTAATAAAAGTAAATAAACTAAAGAAGAAGAAAGCATCACATCCATCAAAATCAGACTAAAAACCCAAAGCTCTTCTGTATAAAAATGTATTGCGATGAAAATGCTTGCAAAAGGATATTACTAATAGAGGTAGCCAGATCTCCCTTGACCAGATCCCGTCCCACAGAGAGAAGACTCCCTCTAGTATTTTTGGTTTCTGTGGTTGCTGATGCAGGAAATCCACACCTAAATCACCCACAACAAGAAGAGTCTACCATCGTCCATGGCAGTCTGTTCTACTGCCATATGGTAGCTACTATCAAGAAGGGCTGCTGAATCATAGTTGAAATCTCTTTTCTTGAAATACTAACCCATTGATTCAGTTCCTCTCTGGAACAGCATAAACCAAGCTGGCTCCATTTTCTGTGCAACAGGCCTTTAAAGATGTGACGATGGATAGTATCTCATTTCTGGATTGTTTCTTCTCTCATGTCCCTTAGCCATTTCTCCTAGGACTTAGTTTCCACCATCTTAAAGCTTTCAACGTGTTGGTTGCCCTTTTTTGAACAGCTTCTAGCTTGTCAATGTGTTTTTGTAAATTGGTGCAACATTTCTGGAGGGGTCCAGACGCCTCTATACCAGTGATTCCCAACTTTGGATAACCCAAGTATTTTTTTTGACTGTGACTCCCACAAATCCCAGCCAGCACAGCTGGTGGGGAAGGTTTCTGCGGATTACAGTCCAAGAACACCTGAATTGCCCAAGGTTAAGAACCACTGTACAGTTAACCTGATAGTACATAGTATGGGTGTCTCTTGGACTGGTAGGGTGAGAATCTAGTCAACAAGTATTCTGGTGGGGAAGGATGTCTCCTGTCCTACACAGAACTACACAGATGAGTAATAAATAATAATCATGTGCCATCATCTTAATTCTCATTTATGGTGACTCTCTTCAGGATTTTCTACGTACAGTCAGAAGTGGTTTACACTTCCCTTCTTCTGGGAATACCCTTGGACTGTGCAGCTTGCCCAAGGCTACACAGGCTGGCTCTTTTTGTAGAAGGTGCAGTTGGAAGCTGCAGGAAGTACCTCTGGCTCTGTAGCCAGATATCTAAAGCACTAAACCAATGGGACACACAGATGAGTAGAGCCAGTTAACATTAGAAAGCATATTTAGGGAATATGAACCTGAAGTTGCAGTTGTTCGTGAAGAAATAAAAGTGGCACAATAACTTGAATTGTGTTGGGAAGTTATGACCATTCTTGGTTTCTGGGTGCATGCACATACAGCAAAGCGTGAGCATGCATGCATTCAGAAGTGCAAATTTAATCGTGTAACATGTGAAGCGGGCTAAAGTGCTTGGAAAGAGCAATGGATTTAGAAAAGGGAGAGGCAGTCCTCAAGACTTTAAATTTCCCCATCTTCATTAACAGCAGTGTAACATGGAATCTATATATCATTTCCTCCAGTTCACTTTGAGGAGTCAATTAGGGCTAATTACCTCCAATTTCCAATCATTTTCTGACAAAGGATGAGAATAAATTACACATTAAAAGAGATTGGAACATCTCTATCCCCCTTTATCTAGCTGGACCTCAGGGGACCATTATAGTCAATTATGCTGACATCCCCACATGCTTTGTTTGTGGAGTAATGACGCACCCAAATCCGAGCTTCTTCCATCTATAAATCTAGCATCCCTGGCTGTTTTGGGGATCAAAAGACCCAGCAGCTGGAGGCCGATTTCAAGGTATGTGTCTCTCAGATCTATGATGGAGGGTTTGGGGATTTGAAGGACTTTGTCTGGGGATTGTTGGTGGTGACACTAGCTCATAAACTAAAATACCGTAAAGTTGCCCCTTGTTTTCCAAGTGAGGGAGGCAATAATTCAAAGAACGCAGCTTTTGTGACATAAAGCAGTGATAGGAAAGGCTTCAAGTCTTGGATTTCCGCCCCGTGCGTAGTAGGTAAAAGACACCCAAGTCCTATTAGCCAGAATGTGGTACACCTTGAAACATTTCAGGTGTCCACATATTTCAGAAGGACCATGAGAATCATTGTGGCATAGCTGTTAGAGTGCAGGGCTGGAATGAGGGACTCCTCAGATCCATTTTCAGGTATCAACAGAGCTGTGTCAATCATGGAGTGACTTTGAGCCAGTCAAAGCCTGACCCAATTCACAAGAGTTATTAGGAAGATAAAGTGGGGGTGGAGAGGAGAATCGGGTGGACAGCCTCAGGTTCTTTGGAACAAAGGTGATAACAGAAGTCTGTCTAATAAATAAATAAATAGTGTTTGAGTAGCCTGCAAGGTGGATCGTGGGTTCTAAGAGGGTGATGATGAAGATCCATGAGTTGTTGAGTCATCAGGTAATTTAATTTTCATGGCACTGCCGTAGTGGTAGAGTATGTGCTGTCCATGCAGAATGTGGAAAGCTGTCTTATAACAAACTCTGACATGTTTCCAAAGATGGAACCACATTAGTTTATCTCAGTCTGTTGGCAAAAGAAGGGTGGAGGCAAAACACTGCAGCACTTTAAAGACTAACCGTGGTGCACGGAAGCTCACACTGAAACAAAACTGTTAATCTTTAAAATGTTCCAAAATTTGGACTTTTTACCTCCCACCTTATTTGTTCATCTACCAGTGGTTCCCAAACGTGAATCCCCAGATGTTCTTGGACTGCAACTCCCAGAAGCCCTTCTCAGCACAACTAGTGGTGAAGGCTTCTGGGAGCTGCAGTCCAAGAAAGTCAGGGGACCCAAGGTCCCTAACCATTGATCTAACCCAAAATTGCCTACTCTGGACCATTTACATTTTTGGATTACATGTCATAAAATTTCCAGGGGCCAAACCAACGGCCATTCCTGCTGGGAAATTCTGGATATCTTTTTTTTAAAATTTAAATAAGGGAATTTATCCAAGTTTTCCTCTCAAGCCACTGACAGCTGGTCTCTGGTGGAAAGCCAGACACATATTTTTTAAAAAGTGTTAAAAGATGTATGATAACAAGCGCGATTGCCCTCAGGAGAAGCACTTATCCTGTGCTTGCCTGTGGTTTAAGCAGGTTTTGCAAGCTTCTTTAGTGCTCCAGAAAATGCTTAATGATAAACGATACCAAAACCCCACCTCAGAAAAAAAAGGAAAAAAAAAGAAAAGAAAGAAAGAAGAGAAGAAAAAAGAAGAAAAAGAAAAAAAATGAATGAAAGAAAACAAAAGAGAGAGAAAATATATATATATATTGGCATCAATGGCTCTAGCACATTACTTAGGACTTTCTCAGAAAATAAGGGCTCATTCAGACAGGCATTTGGCCTGCTGTTCGGTGTGTTGTGGGGGAGCATGCATGCATGCATGCATGCATGCATGCATGCATGCATGCATGCATGCATGCATGCATGCATGCATGCATGCATGCATGCATGCATGCATGCATGCATGCATGCATGCATGCATGCATGCATGCATGCATGCATGCATGCATGCATGCATGCATGCATGCATGCTCCCCCACAACACACCGAACAGCAGGCCAAATGCCTGTCTGAATGAGCCCTTATTTTCTGAGAAAGTCCTAAGTAATGTGCTAGAGCCATTGATGCCAATATATATATATATTTTCTCTCTCTTTTGTTTTCTTTCATTCATTTTTTTTCTTTTTCTTCTTTTTTCTTCTCTTCTTTCTTTCTTTTCTTTTTTTTTCCTTTTTTTTCTGAGGTGGGGTTTTGGTATCATATATCATTAAACATTTTCTGGAGCACTAAAGAGGCTTGCAAAACCTGCTTAAACCACAGACAAGCACAGGATAAGTGCTTCTCCTGAGGGCAATCATGCTTGTTATCATACATCTTTTAACACTTTTTAAAAAATATGTGTCTGGCCTTCCACCAGAGACCAGTTGTCAGTGGGACAGCAGGAGGAGCCAGAGGATTGCTTGCGGTTGATATGCTGTTTGGACATGAGGATTGCACCAAATGCATATCGCTCCTCTCCCCTACCTCAGGCCACCCTATTTCAACCACACAAGCCCACACCAAAAGGGCCAGTGTGGTCACACCCTAATTTTCTATTTTCATCCTGTTTTCCTGGATAGGAAATGTGTTCTTCTAAAGGAACAAAGTGAGTTTAGATACCAGAACAGAGAATGTTTCCTTTTTTCCTATTCTTTCTTGTGTGTAGATGTGGAACAGCTCTCGGTACATCTTCTGTTTTTCTTTGCTCCTCTGTGGGCTCTTTGGAGAATGCTTTGGAATGGCACTTTTGGTAAGTTTTATCAAGACACTCTGCCCAAGTAATCTGTATTTGGAAGTGAGCCATCCCTTGGTACCTCCATCCCCATCACAAATGGTCTTATCTGGTCTACCTACCCATGCAGTATTGTAGAAGCAAAGTGAGTAGTGTGGATTGTACCACTTCAGGCCATGGGTGGGGGGATTCCAGTTTTGATTAGCCTTCCCTGTTTCTTTTGTTTTAAAAAAGGAAATCTCCTGCATTCAGAAAACAAATACACAAGGAGAAAAGATTCTCTCACACCCTTTTACCAAATGGCCTGGTTTTCTGTGTTCACAGATATCAGGCAAAAACAAAACAAAAATAAAAAATCAAGATTTAAAAAACTGTGGCACCTTAAATGTGAGTTTTTGTGGACCAGTCCACTTCCCAGTTTTCAGGGAGGTGTTTTGTTATTATTATTTTTAGTTAAGGAAATCAAGTTGGAACTTGTTAGGTAAAGGTAAAGGTTCCCCTTGACATTTAGTCCAGCCATGTCCAATTCTAAGGGGCAGTACTCATCCCCATTTCCAAGCCATAGAGCCAGTGTTTGTCCATAGACAATTTCCGTGGTCATGTGGCCAGCGCGACTAGACACGGAATGCCATTACCTTCCCACTGAGGTGGTACCTATTTATTTACTTGCATTTTTACATGATTTTGAACTGCTAGGTTGGCGGGAGCCAGGACAAGCGACGGGAGCTCACTCAGTTGCGTGGATTCGATCTTACGACTGCTGGTCTTCCAACCTTGCAGCACAGAGGCTTCTGCAGTTTAACCTACAGCGCCGCCACGTCCCTTGTTAATCAGTGGCAATTAGCTGCTGTAAATTATGCAGTTTCTCTTCAATCAGCATAACTAAGCAAGAAGATTTGGGTGAATAGAATAGAATAAAATTGAAATCCAGTAGTAAGCTGCAACTAGAGTAGGCCCATTAAATCAATGGGAATTTGATTAATAAATTCATCCATTAAATTTGATTGATTCATAGAACCATGGAATTGGAAGGGATCTATAAGACCATCAAGTCTAACCCTCTGATCAAGGCAGGAATCCAAATCAAAGCAGATCTGACAGATGATTGTCCAATTTTCTCTTGAAGTATTGGAGCACTCGTCACCTCCTGAGGCAGTTGGTTCCATTGTTGTACTGCTCTAACACTTAAGAACTACAGTACTCTAGTTAGAACATTCAGTCAATAGAATAGAATAGAATAGTATATAAATTTCCACCACCCTCATAATTTGTCCTCTGCAACTGCAGAAAGCCTGCTTTAATTGGCTTCAACAATCAGTCTACTAATGTTGACCTATCAGTACTGTATTTGGGAAGTGGAGAGGCTGGATATACATTTCTATAGAAAGATACATCTGTATAGAATGTACAGAAACCTCCATGGCCACAAAGATTGGGAGCAGCAATTTGTGGCATTGTGGGAACTTAAACGGGTAATTCTGTAGACCTCCAACTGGGGTCTGCCATTTTAGTATTCCAGAAAGCCACAGAGTGACAGAATGCCACAGGAATTCGGGGGATTAAAACAGCTGTTCTACTCCACTCAGCCATGTTTCTCTTTCTTGAGTACATATATGCACAGAATGTGCTATGTGACAATAGCGAGAAACTAGTTTAATGTGGCTTTCTTACTGTTATTTCTGTAGCCCAAGGACAAGCGTGGCTGGACTCTGAACAGCGCTGGCTACCTGCTGGGACACCGTAAGTTGATTCAGGATTTGATTGATAGTAGAAAAATGTGGTCAATGTGTAAGGTAGGGGTGGGCAACTTTTAGCCCTCCAGATATTGTCAGACTGCAACTCCCATCAAATCTAGGTAGGTATCAGAGCCAAATGGTGAGGGATCGGTGGAAGAAGGCAGCCTAGAAATGAGGAGGAGGAGAGGAGGAGGAGGAGGAGGAGGAGGAGGAGGAGGAAGCATGTTGCAGTTTAACAGCTTCTGGATGGCCACATGTTCTCCATACCTCCTATAAGGGAAGGGGAAAAAATTAAGGTGACACCTAACTGGAAATGAGCCCCAAAGAACTCAGTGGGAATTCTGAATGGGATTGTGGGATATATAGTGTTGTGATGTAAGGTATCTTCCAATGGGCACAAAGAGAGAGTGGGCAGCTTAGAACCCTCTGGCAAAAAAAGGGCAAAATCTCACCCAAAAGGCAAAAGGTGTATAACAGCCCTTATTGCTTGTGAAATACATACTCGTTTTGTTTGTGCTGTTATCCACTGTATTCAAATAATACTTTACAGGTCTTTGCTGGTGCTTCGAAACCATGTTTGCTGAAATGTGTTGGCTAAAAATATTCTCCCTCTGAATGTTAAAAATTGGGTGCACACCACAGAGGACTGTGCTGAATGATAGTGATATGTATTAGATCTTTCTATAGCAAGCAACATTGTGGTCTTCTAAATATCTTTGGACAACAACACCTATCAATTCTTGACAACACAGCAATGACAGTGAGATGCTGAGACTTGCCTTCAGCAACTTCTGGAGGGCTCCCCTTATCCAGTTCTGTTCTCTGGTGTAATCCAACCAGACCTGAGAGTTAAATTTGCACAAGGTGCTAGTCCACAAGAATAACTACTACTTATTTTTTAAATCTGTTTGAGGTACGTATGCTGATGGCCAAAGGGAAAAGAAATAATTATCTTCCAGTTTTTTGGAACACTTCCTGCCAGCTACCTCAGGGGGGTGATTTTAATGTGCCATCAGGCCTCTGGCAAGTAGCTAGTAGTTTATAAAATTGGTGTAATTCATCTTCTTCTTTTTTATGTAACCTGCAGCCCTTCTTCCCTTCTACTCTCCTCTTCCCAAAGCAGATGCCCACCAGACACTGTCTGACAAAGGAATCCTGGGGGGTAAACGGGATGCTTTGGAGAATTTCTATTCTCAAGGACAGGATTCTTTCGGTGAGTCCATACACCTAATGGCTTCCCTTTTTTCTCTCTCTGCATTTTTCATTTTCCAGTACTGTACATCACTCTTAACTGCCCCCTAACACAATTCTTCTGTTCTTTCAGCACAACCTATGCACCCCTCAGATGAAGCCAACTTCCAAACTTTGATGGATTTTCTCTCTTATCTGAACCTCCAAGGTGAGGGCAAAGAGCCAGTTCTCTGGGGCAGGGGATCAAATTATACATTACCAATCATCTTTCATTAGAAGCTGCAGTCTCATCAGATTGGTGTGGAAGCTCTCCTAGCTGCAGCTCCATGGGCATAGAGACCATTGGTAATGGCACGGGTAAAACAAATCTTGTAAAGAAACAAACACTGAACAGGAGACTGATGATAAAGTTGACACACAATCAGTCATTGAGGATGGTGTTCTCTTTGACATGGCGTCACATTCCTGTTCAGTCCGGTGCTTTTGACTGCAGCTGAGCTACATGGGGACGTGGTGGAGCTGTGGGCTAAACCACAGAAGCCTGTGCTGCAGAGTCAGAAGACCAGCAGTCATAAGATCGAATCCACGCGACGGAGTGAGCTCCCGTCACTTTGTCCCAGTTCCTTGCCAACCTAGCAGTTCGAAAGCATGCAAATACGAGTAGATAAATAGGGACCACCTCAGTGGGAAGGTAAAACGGTGTTCCTTAGTCACGCTGGCCACGTGACAACGGGAACTGTCTTCGGACAAGCGCTGGCTCTCTGGCTTGAAAACGGGGATGAGCACCGCCCCCTAGAGTCCGACACGACTGGACTAAAAATGTCAAGGGGAACCTTTACCTTTACCTTTGAGCTACATGGAGAAGAAGGAGGGGTTGGCAGTGGCAGGAACCCCAAAACTCATATCTCTTTTCCACCTTCTTTTGCAGATCAAAGGGCTGTTTCTCACCAGCCAGAAGAGTCTCTGTAACAGTAGTGGGTTGGGTCTTCAACCCTGGGCCCTTCCGAGCGGCTTGCTAGGATTATAGTTACCCTCCCTATCTTTCTCACACATTCAATTTAGTGATATTCCTGTTGTACCAAGACAGTATATTCTCCTGCCATGCACTATATTCAACCATTTAAGAACATGCTGTGGATAATGTCCACCTCTCCACTTAGCAGAACATCTCACCCTAAGAAACCCTAGATGTGTCTCTCGCTGGAACAAAGTCTTTCATTCCTACCCCTGGCTCAGCCTGCAAAAATTATTTTTGGGAGGCATAGTCCAAAAAAGTACAATTCCAAACTCTGCTCCACGTTCTCACGTGCATCCTTAGGAACAATCTTTTCCCTTGCTTTCAGCTTGAGGATTTACACAGCAGTTGATGATGTTATTCATCATCCCCCGTTCTTATTACATACTTTCATGTCACCATGGACCTGTGGACAGATAGCTGCATGTTCTGATTTCTGGAAAGGAGGACGTGAGCATGAACAAGAGGGGATGGGTGTGTTCGGCTACGAGCACATGACAGCTGGTACAAGGGATGCTCCTTCGCACTCTCATGCCCTACTATAGGACTAGGAAAATGCAGCTCAGCCTACAAAGGGATGTTGTGGGTACCACAAGGGAATAGCAGACAAGCCACCAATCCTGACAGACTTGCCACTTTACTAAACATACCTCTGAACCTTTCTGGAGCAGTGATACCTCAGCAGTAATTCACATGCTTTACATGCAGAAAGCATCAATTTTAATCCCTCCAGCATCTCCATTAAAAGGGTCGGGCAGCTGGTGACAGGAATGACCTTTACTTGAGATCTTGGAGAGTTGTTGCTAGTAAGAGCTAGGCTAGTCTAAGATGGCCTGGACAGAAAGAAGAGCTAGGCTAGGCTGGCTTGGACAGATAGAAATTCCAACCTGACTTAAGGCAGCTTCTTAATAATCCTGAAGTTTACAGCCATTTGATTAATCTCTCCCCCCCCCTCTCTCTCACACACACACACACACAAATGTTGGCTTGCATTTTGTGCATCGGAGATGCAGAAGTGGGAGACACCTAAGACATTTATTGAATAAACTCCTCACTCACTCACTCACACACACACACAAATGTTGGCCTGCATTTTGCGCATCGGAGATGCAGAAGTGGGAGAGACCTAAGACATTTATTGAATAAACTTTTTTCCTTCTAAATTGGTTGTGTCTGGCATTGATGTGTTTTAACATTATTAGAAAGAAGATCTGAGTTCAAAGCAGGATAGGGTAAGACTAGAAGCAGCACCAAGAATTTCTTAGGACCAAAGATGGGTTTATCACAGAAAAGGATATTGATTGGCTTTGGAAAGCAGCAACAGTCTGGGATGTTCATGTCCCTTTAATTCAACTTGGATGTACAGGAATTAGAAAATGAATGTTTTCAGGGCATGCAGTGAAACACAACTGCAAATCAAAGCACTCCTCAAGAAAAAGATTCAGGGAATGGTTAAAGAGCTTTGGATCTAACCTTTTCTTCCAAAAAAACCCATACAGTACATTGTTCTTTCCAGTCCACCTTAATTTTTCTTTGGATCTAACCTTTTCTTCCAAAAAAAACCCCAGGCACCATACAGTACATTGTTCTTTCTAGTCCACCTTAATTTTTTCTCCCCATCAACCCTGGGGGATAGAACATGATGGGAGACATTGGCCAAAATCTTATTATTTGTCCCTCCTGTCTTGCCCTCCATGTAGGAATAGGGGAAAGCTGCAATTCAAAAAAATAATAATACATATCTGGCATTTCACTGAATTGGCTTGCCACTCAAGTGATTTAGTCTGGATTATAGGGTTTTTTTTAAAAAAGGTTCTGCATCATCTTCTGTTTCCCCCTCCTTGAGGGAGAAGGGAGGAGAAGGCTTGATGTTGCTGTTAATTTTTTAATAGGTGGCCCTCTTTCTACCCCAGGGAAGGTTAGACCCTGCAGTGGCTTAAGCAGAATGACAGCTAAGTGATCCCCTTTGATTTGATACACATGCCAGAACCAAACAAAATCAAAGTAACCCTACCTGCGATTAAAAAAAACATATGCCCTTACCAGGGACCCCAAAGGTGTGGGTAAGGCATGAATAAGGGTTTGACTGTTTTGTGATTGGCTGTGCAGCATGTGATCATTTGACAATGGAGCAAACTAGCCCATTCCTTCTCGGAGATCCGTAGGATCCAGGTGGGGCTATGTGGGAATGAGATGAAGAATAGATGGGAAAATATTTGCAAGGCCAGGAACAGATTCAGCTTATGGGTCTTCTGTTGCCTCTGTGCTCTTGACGGATGCAATTAATATACAGTAGGACCCCCGTATCCACAGGATCAGTATCTGTGGTTTCACTTTATCACTATATGAAAATATTAAAAGAAAAAATCCAGAAATAAACTATTTTCACATGTATCACCAGAACTGGTCACTAGAAGGGGCGAGAGACCATGCTAGGAATATTTGTTAGTGAAGAATACATAGCACATTTTGGTACCCTCTAGTGGTCAGTTCTGGTAATGCATGTGAAAAAATTTTTCCCTGTTGCTTTTTCCTTTTACCATGGTATATACCGTATTTTTCGCACCATAAGACACACTTTTCCCCCACAAAACAGGGGGGTGGGAAGTCTGTGCGTCTTATGGAGCGAAGAAAACAGATTATATTTTCCTGTTTTCTTCTCCTAAAAAATTGGTGCGTCTTATGGAAAGGTGCGTCTTATGGAGCGAAAAATACGGGTATATAGTATTTGCTTTTGTCCATGTTTTTTAGTATCCACAGGAGGCTTGGAACCAATTCCCAGCAGATATGGGGGTCCTACTGTAATTCTTGGAGAGATTCTGTGGACCATATAATACAGCTAGCTTGACCTCCCTTACCACTCCCCATCACCTTCCTCCTTTGCCAGTTCATGGCTGTACCTTACTCAGAGTCAACCACCAAGAATTTCTGCATATAGGAGTTGAGCCATTTCTGCCTTTCCATGGCTGTCAACATCTTGCTTTTCTCCCGGAAGGCTGCATCATCTGCTACCACTATGCTTCGCTTCCCATCCCACCCAGGAACCCAGTTGGTTGGGTACAGGGCCATCTTTTTGCCCCCAGAAGATGGGGATTCCTCTCCCATTGAGCTCCACAGGCTGGCTTTTCTGTTTTGCACTTCCTCTTCTTTGTCCTCCTCCTGGGGTGCTGTGACATCTGAAGACATCCACTTGAGGCTCCAGTCATGCAGAGTAATGGAAGGGATGCCGATATTCCAGAGAAGGAGGGGTTTTTTGAGGTGATCACTGCTCCCGGGTGGAGGATACTGGGGTGCTTCACGCTTCCAAAGTCTGCAAAAAGAGGAAGTACAGAGATGAAGCTTCAATGTTCTAGAAGGGAAGTGAAGAGCAGTGTTCCTTTTGGAGGGGAAGGCAGCACAAGGTTTTTCAGACTTTGCTCAAGAAAGAATCCCTGGGGGTTTGGGCCACCCAATGCATGGTTACAACGGCCAATATCCTGTTGGGTTTTCCATGTGAAGAATGGAAGTTACAGAAACTGATTGACTTGGACCACAACTTCCTCAGCTTCCCTAAAACTGCTTGCTTGTTGGTTGGTTGGTCGTTTTGAATAATACACAGTAGGGCCCCCATATCTGTGGAATGGCCCTAAAACTGCTTGCTTGTTGGTTGGTTGTTTTGACTAATACACAGTAGGGCCCCCATGTCTGTGGAATGGGTACCCACGGTTTCATGTATCCACAGTCTGAAAATATTAACAATATCCAAAGAAAAAACAGAAATATATATTTTCATTATCTATTTACCAGAACTGGCCACTAGAGGGAGCCAAAGGCCATGCTATGTATTCTTGTTGTTGATGAATAAATAGCATGGTCTTTGGCTCCCTCTATTAGTCAGTTCTAGTAATATATGATTTAAAAAAATCTGGATTTTGTTTTCTTTTACCATGTTATGCATAATGTTCTCTACATCCCTGTGAATATGGGGGTCACACTGTACCATCCCATAGTGCTCAAGTTCTCTGTGGTGGTTTGCAACATAATTATGCTAACAATAATTATGCTCCCCCCCCCAGCAAGCTGGGTATTCAGTTTAATTGGGAGGCTGAATCAACTTTAAGCAGGCACCTTGAAACCATCAGGACGGAATGCAAGTCAGGAGCAGAGGATTGACTGCAGTACTGCAGTTAAACACTGTGCCACGGGGCTCAGAACTCATTTTCTTTCTCTTTTTTAAAGGGATAGAGTTGAATGGCATGGCAGGGGACTTTTAAAAAACATATATTCTTAAAGGTGAAAGCTTAAAAGAGAATGGTGCAGATGGAGGGCATGCCGGGCGTGCTGGCTGGCAAGAGGGGCTTGGCTGAAAAAGTTGCTGTTGTCCTCCTTCTGCCACCTACTGGCATTGCCCAGCCTTTTTGCCTTGGTCCTTTGTTTTCTGCTGCTGACCCATCTCCATCTCCCTCCTTTTTTTGGGGGGGGGGGTCCCTCCCTCCCTCCCTCCCTCCTTTTTTGGGGGGGGGCGGTGTCCATTTTTCTTTGCTTCCTTTGAGATGTTTATGGAACAGTCTGGACAGTAATCATGGTTAGTCCCCTTGAGAAGAACAGGGACAAACTGAGAAAGAGAGGGACAGAAACCTCTCCCCCATCTAAACCTACAACTCCTAATGCTGGCTGGATAGCTCAGTGGGTTGAGTATCTGGCTGTGGAGCCAAGGATTATTCCCCACCACACCTCCTGCGAGTAGAGACCCAGCCTGTGTGGCCCTGGGCCAGCTGCACAGTCCCCGGAATAGCCCCAGAAGAAGGGAAGGGTAAACCACTTCTAAGTATTTTCTACCTGGAAAAACCTGGTAAGAGTCACCATAAGTCAGAATTGGCTTAATGGTACATGATTTTTATTGAGGATTCCCAGTGTAGTGTAGTGGTTAGAATAATGGGCTAGGACTCTGGAGAACAGGGTTCAAATCCCTACCTGGCCAGGGCAACTCCCTGGAGAAATAGAGCTAGTAAAACCACACCTTAAATATATCACTTATCTTGAAAGCCCTATTAGGGTCACTATAAATAGGTTCCAACATGAAAGCACAGAACAACACACAGGCATACACCTCCAATCATATTTCTTATTTCAACATGATTTTATAATAAATGATAGCTTCCTTATTTTCCTAGAATAAAAATCCTGGGCGTGATTTATTTCCAAAAGGGAACTGAGACCAGCTGACCATTACAATATTTAGTGACTGATACCACCAATTCACTTTGCTTCTTCTTGCTCTGCTAATGGATGGTTGGCTATCAAGTGTTATTGACTTAAAAGGGGTGCCTGAAATCAGACAGGAGTTTTGAGCCCTTTTCCAAAGGGAAAGATGGTAAGGCAGTTAGAAAAGAAAGACATTCAGAACCACGGCTGAAGCAAGGAAAACTCCAGCAGAGCAACAATTAAAAAGGGGCTCCATTTAACGAAAAGCTAAGGAAATGTTAAAAGTTAGCCTATAGGAGAGGAGGATTGAATTATAGCCTAATGCTGCACAGCTATTTCTTTAATAAGAAGCTGACAGGGAAATGTTCCTGTTCTGTTTAACTTGATTTGTAACTTGAGCAGAGCTAAAATTAAAATTAAAATTAAAAAAAGAAGTTTTGGATGAAAATCAAAAAGTAGCAGCTTTCCTTGGCACATTTCCAAAAACTATTGATTTTTTTGCCCCCCATCACAGAGACCCAGAAATTAAAACAAGACTTCCAGTCAACGCTTAACAACAGGAAAAGCACAACTTTTACAGGTTCAACTGTAGCTTTTGTCTTTGCCCATGTGGAAGGGAAGCCAGTCAAATGCAAATTGAGCTCTGAAGGAAAAAAAAATACAAAGTACCTCAGTGGCAGGAATAAGAAAGCCCTAAAGCTAAAAATAGCCAGTGTTTCATTTCAAGGGGTGATTCAAACTGGAAAATGGGATTTCCCCAAAGTGGCCATGCAGTTGCCTACTTGGAAACACACAAGGAGAGGAAACACACAAGGAAGAGAGGAATGCAACAGCACCCTCTTGTTCATATACCTCAACAGCTGGTATTCAAAGGCACACCGCCTGTGGGGCCTGAGGCAATGCACAACCGTCATCAGAACCAGCAGCCTCTGGCTTATCCTCTGTGCTCTCCTCTCATCCCCTTTTAGAACCATCTATGTTGGCATCACCAGGAGTTTCAGTTTATAAATGGGAGTGGAATTTGGCAAATGCTGTAACACAGCCTGTGAATTTCCTTGACATGCACGAACACTATCGTTCCTGGAGAACAGGAAAACTGTTCAGAGAAGAGTGGTCTTATTTTTCAAACATGACATCTTTTGGAAGAGGAAAGAAAAACCAACACAGAGTGGAAGTGGAAGATAGGATGGTGAAACAGTGATGCTAATACGGTCTGCCCACAGGTCTTGCTGCCTAAATTATATTAAAGGCTGCTCAAGTTATGAACTTTCCCCTGGCTTTTAAAAAATCTCCTCCTCTGCCACATGCTTTTTTGCAATACCTTGGTCATGTTATTTATCCTGCGTCTCTCCCTTGCCCTCTCTTTCTTTCAGACAAGAAACAGACAAACTTTCACTTACCTGTCAGAGTGATGCAGCTTTGGCAACAAGGCTCCTGAAGTCAGCAATGGACATGAGCTGAGAATTACTATGATGGTCAAGAGACCTTTGTGAGTTCCAGTTGCAGATTTCATTGCAGCTGCAGATTTCATTGTTGGCACTGAAAAGAAAAGCAAGAGAAGGCATCGGTCCTTGAAAAAGACACAGTGTCGCCCCCTCAAGGAAATGCCTACTTATACCATTCCTTTGTCTTAAGGGTACTGTACTTAAAATTCCTTCCTCTGGCTCTGGCCATTGTCTTCTTACCTATGTGTTTGTCTTCTTACCTATGTGTTGGTGGTACACGCCAAATTTCTTGTTGCAAAATCCTCTGTGTCCTCTTTTAGTTACCTCCTTCAGGAGCATTTATATCCCCCTTTTCTGCTTGTGATGTAAGCAGCAGGACCAGCAGCGGAGGTGTAGGGGTTCAGATCAATTGAAATAGAAGTCAACATCTTGAAAAGGGAAACAATGGAATAGATCAGATTAGAATGGATTGGCCCAGGTCATACGGATATAGAAAATAATGAGGCAGATCAAGCTCTCTCTCTTTCTCTCTCTGCGTGGTATTACGGTCATTGTTAAAAACAGCATTAAAATGTAAGTATAACAATAAGATAAATAAATTTTAGATTATTAGGCATGGAAGCAAATGGAAAGATGTCTGGGTAAGTATGGTTTGATGGATAGACAGCCAAAGAAAGAAAAACTGATAGAGCCATTTAAAGTAAAATTAAAGGGAGGGAGGGAGTAGAGGCAGGTAGAGAGGAAGGGATATTTCTGTAAAACAAGATAAAGCTGTCTAAGCTTTAAGTTAGGTAAAGGTTCCCCTTGACAATTCGTCCAGTTGTGTCCAACTCTAGGGAGCGGTGCTCATCTCCGTTTCCAACCCATAGAGCTAACGTTTTGTCCGAAGACAATCTTCCATGGTCATTTGGCCAGTGCGACTAGACACGGAATGCCGTTACCTTCCCACTGTGGTGGTACCTATTTATCTACTCGCATTTGCATGCTTTAGAACTGCTAGATTGGCAGGAGCTGGGACAAGCGATGGGGGCTCACTCCGTCACGTGGATTTCATCTTGCGACTGCAGGTCTTCTGACCTTGCAGCACAGAGGCTTTTGCGGTTTAACCTGCAGCATTTAAATTAGGTAGCTGTTCTAGCCAGGATTTCTGGGACTTGTAGTCTAAGAACATCGTGGGACCCAAGGTTGGGAAACACTGCCCTAATACAAATATACATATAAAAATATTAGAATATTAGAAATTTGCTTATGAGTAGATAGATGTCATAGACTTAGGTATTCCTTAAAAACAATCAAATAATAATGGCCCAGAGAATCATACCCCATTGTATATCATCCTCCTCTTCTTCTTTTTAGCTTTTAACATGCTATTAGACCTTTGGTCTGTTTACTGCAGCAGATTAACGTGGGAATGACAGAGCCCATCAAGATGGAGAAACAACTTCTCAGGAAAGGCTTTCCTCCTGTTATCTTGTGAAAGAAATAGTTTTACTTCATATCAGATGTAGGTGTGTGACAGAATGTGCAGTCAAACTACTTATCTTCGTGGGGCCCATATATTTTCTTAGGGGTAGAACAAAAATCTTCATCAACATTCTCACTCCCAAATATGGGAGGGACATCCACTCAGAAGAGGAGTAAATGTCCATGATCATAGAATAATTGAGTTGGAAGGGGCCTATAAGGCCATCAAGTTGACCCTCCCTGCTCAAGGCAGGAATCCAAATCAAAGTACATAGATCTGACAGAGGACTGTCCAATTTTCTCTTGAAGATCTCCAGCGTTGGAGTGCTCAGCACTTCCTGAAATAATTGGTCCCATTGTCATACTGCTCTAACAGTTAAGAGGTTTTGCTTGATATTCAGCCTAAATCTGGTGCCCTGCACTCTGCGATGATCAAGAACCGATCTTGTCCCTCCACTCTATGACTACCTTTAAAGGATCTGTCATGTTGCCTTTAAGTAGCATGGCAAATGCATCATGCAGTGTGGCCTTCTTGGCTAGTGTCTACAAGGAGAGGCAAATAAAGAGCAGAGAAGACAGGAATGTTTAAAATGGAAAGGAATTGTGAGTGTGCTCAGAAGAAGCAGGCCGAGAAAATTCTTAGGAGGTTAAAAGGCCCATGGAGGGGCTGAGAGACAAACAAGAATATGGCTGTGACATGAGAGTCAATGAGAATCAGGCATGAACGTTAGAAGACTTTACAAGTTTGTGTATATGCGTGGAAGGAGACGGCGTGAATCTTAACAAGGCAGGGAAATTAGATTGCTCCCTTTTGTCTTCCTTCTCATTATTAAACACTCTTTACTGGATTTCCCTTGACCCCACTTGAAAGGTCTTGGCTGACACTGCCACTAATGAAAACCTCCGGCGCATCCTGGTGTGACTCACAGCTCGGTTGTCGATGGAGGGTGGGCGGCTGGGTGGTCTCAGTTCTCTCTAGGCCTCATTAGCATTAGGTTTGTTAGTTAGCCACACACTAACAAGCTCAGCTGATGGCGTCAAGGCTGGGGTATGGAGCTGGGTATGTGGGGAAAAAGAACACCCTGGGTTGCACCAACTTTCGAGAAGATATGTGACTTTAACTCAAAGTTCGGGAAGAGGCTCAGAGCAGGAAACAGCCTTCTGTGTTCATGGTCTGGCAACAGGGTGGCTGCTTAGCAATAGCACCAAAATGTGGGCACCGCTTGTCCCAAAAAGAAGACAAAGGAGGGTGCTGTTGAATATACCAATTGGTATGCAGAGAGGCAAGAGGGACGTGGTGGTGCTGCGGGTTAAACCGCAGAAGCCTCTGTGCTGCAAGGTCAGAAGACCAACTATCGTAAGATCAAATCCACACGACGGAATGAGCTCCTGTCGCTTGTCCCAGCTCCTGCCAACCTAGCAGTTCGAAAGCATGTAAAAATGTGAGTAGATAAATAGGTACCACCTCGGTGGGAAGGTAACAGCGTTCCGTGTCTAGTCGCGCTGGCCACGTGACTACGGAAACTGTATTCGGACAAACACTAGCTCTACGGCTTGGAAACGGGGATGAGCACTGCACCCTAGAGTTGGATACGAATGGACTAAATGTCAAGGGGAACCTTTACCTTTACCTTTACCTTTGTAGAGAGACAAAAGATGGTTTTACAACATTTAAAGAGAATTAGCATGCATTTCACCTGGTAGGGAGGATAGAGACTACTATATTTAGTCTACTCATGTTTGCTATATACAATGAGAAGGCTTTTCAGAAAGTTAGTCATATTAGTATGTTTCCGTATATATAATAAAGGCAAAATTGTTGCGGGACCTTAAAGAATAGCAGATTTATGCCAAACTGAGCTTTCATGGATCATCATAACCAGCTTTCTCAGACACATGGAGTGCAATATTTAGCCACAGGTTCCTACACAGTGGCCAAAATCTTTGTTGACTACTTATACAGATGGTATAATTTTTGGAGGCAAATTGTTTCAGGTTGAGAAATCACTTTAGATATGATTTGTTGTGTGCTGATTTATACATGTATTGACTTAACTATTTAGCAATGGGTCTAGCCTTAGTTTAGACTAGCAATAGGATACAGTAGTCTTTATTTAAGCCTTGGGTTTTCCCTGCAATTCCTGCCGTTTATATCACTTCCCTCCCCATTTTCCTTGCAAATCAGATAACAATATGTCACTCATGGAGGGCTTGAGATATTCTCGTAGATCTCAGGCAAAACCCGAAAGGGAAGAAAATTCAATATAAAAAAAGGCAAAAAGGCAAAAACTTACAGCTCCTTAAGAACTGTTATACTGTACCCATAATGCTATACCTAGAAAACTCCAGAAAAGGTTGCCATAATTTGAAATTGATTTGACATAACAGTAGAAAACAGCGAATTATCTTGAAAAGAAATGTATGGCTACATAGTTAAGTGGACTAGGTATCTGCCTGTAGACCTCAGTCCCCCACTGTGCGTTCTGCAAGTAGAGCCAGCCTGTGTGGCCTTGGGCAAGCTGCACAGTCCCAGGATGCCTCCAGAAGAAGGGAAGCGTAAACCACTACTGAGTATTCTCTACCTGGAAAACTCTGAAAAAGGGTCCCCATAAGTCATCAGGGCATCCCAGGACTGTGCAGCTTGCCCACAGCCACACAGACTGGCTCTTCTCCCTGAAGATACTGTGGGGAATCGAACTCCCATCCTTTGGCTCCATAGCCGGATACCTAAATCATCCTAGTCTTCGTAACTTTTACTCAGCCTCACTTGTCTTTTGTTTCCTCCACAGTCACTTAGTTTTTACAGCACTCCCAGCCTAGATGGGAGGCTGTACAGAGACAGATTCCCTAGCCATTCAGAAAATAAGCTATTGAAAACCATCAGACAATCCCCTGAGTGAAAGAAAATTGCTTGGCAATTTGGCCAGGCCTGCTATGGCAGTCTTTAGCAATAGTCACCATGAATCCATTAATGCTCTTTTGTCTAACTTCCAAGTGTTTTGTTTATTTCATCACCTCAGACCCCACCTTTCCACCAAGGAACTCAGGATGATTCAAATGTTCCCTCCATTTTATCTGCACAGCGACCTTTTAAGGTAGGTGAGGCGGATTGCTGATGACAGCTTCAAGGTGACCTAGGAAGAATTATGGAGGTTTGAAACTGGATTCCCCCAGCCTTACACAAAAACAATGAAGAACCTTGTATTACTTTAAAGACATAACTACTTTATTACACCATAAGAGATTTGAATTGAGTTTCATATCAGACAATGTCTGTTGATTGATCTAGTAACAGGATGTTTTTGATTATTCACTACAGTTCTAATATTTTCCAGTTCCAATATTGTCAATGGGACTACATGCTTTCTGAAATTTCCTCTTAACTGCACTGTCTTCCCACCTCCAACTATCTGTATGCTTACACCAAGTGTAGTTGTTTTTGGTGTGAGATCACAGTAAATTCTTTTCCCCTTAAAAACCCCTGTGAATTCACAGAGGACCACTCGAAGAACAGGTAAGTAACCTCTCTTTTTGAGGATTTGCATCTTTAAAGCAGGTAACACGAGGACCACTCGAAGAACCAAAGTTACAGGAGGGTTTTTTGAGGATTTGCATCTTTAAAACAAGTAACATCCTGTTACTAGATCAATCAACAGCAACAATTAAGCATTCCCCAAATGTAATCCTTTCATCACTCAGCAAGGCATCACTGCGGGAGATAGTTGGAAATGAATGTGTCATGCTAAGTCTCTGTATTCTCGAAGTCCAGAATTCAGATTGTTATAGTTTTGCAAAACTTTCTCTTGTGATGTTCAGCATACAGGGAGCCCACTACCAGAAACGAGTGAGAATAAAATTTTAAATAATTACATAATGCCTACTGCAAAGAGTTTGTTCTTCACTTTTAACCTTGCACAGATCAATTGAATTCCATTACCTAAATCAAGGTAATCAGGAGCTAAATTCTTGGCGTCTGTGACACTTCAAGCCTTATCTTTCCTAACTTTCTCTTCATCTAAACCCAAAGCAACCCTCACAGGCCTTTCCTTTAATGCTCCCCGCCAAGTGGTCCAAACAAACCAAGCAGTTCTTCTGGTTACAGCTGGTCTGTAACCTTTATGACCTTGGTTTGGATCGCAAGGAGATTCCCACCTTCTGTGAGGGATTTGCTTATTACTTCTCCCACTTGCCCAAGATGCAGTGGATAACCCTTTTGTTTGGTGTAGCCTGCTTGATCTATTTAGGATCTGCTTCCTTGCTGGTACTAGGTAAGTGAATTATGGTGCATATGTAGGATTCTTTAAGATGTAAATGTTACTATAGTAGTAGGCAGATGTTAGCAAAGTGCTCTTTTATTTCCGTTTGGTGGATTAGGGCTAAGGTTAGAATTAGGCATTTCACCTAATAATAATAATAATAATATGCACACCACAATAATGGTGGCCACCTTCGTGACTTTGATTTTGAAAAGAAGTGGGGTAGATCATGTACATAGGCAATCTGGATAAGGAAGGTATTGTTACAACAGAGGTACATAACAACACAACAACCCTCCCAGGGAGTAGAAAATAAACTGCTGTTACACCACTGGCTGGGAAAATGTTTCACTCTTGACTGTGTTGTGTGACTGGAAAAGAAAAATTAAGCACCTAACTGGGGCACAACTAGAGAACATTTCTCTCATGTGACCAGGGCTTGTGTTTGCGTGCCTATGTATGGATATTTTCCACAGCCACATCTGCACCGTTGGCCTATTCGGATTTCAAGAGAAGTCAATGAAAATGAAGGTGGACGCTGGAGTGGGGATGGATTGATAAATGGATTTCTGTCTAATCGTGGGATGCAATTTGAGCTTCGTAATAAGGGCAGGGGCATGGCCATGCAAGTGGAGTGTGACATTTATGGAGGTGTGCGTGGAAACGGGTTGGAACAGATGCTAAAACTGGCCGCCTCCTGACTGGCACAGAGGGTGCGTATTGACTTTTCTGGCCACGGCCCAGGAGAATCTGAAATCACAAGCGACACAGGATTTGGATGGAAGGTAATGGAAAGTGGGTAGAGGGTGTTCAAATAAACTCTGAAAGGTTAGCAGAGGAGGCTGGAAAACCTGGGGTGAAGAGGTTAGTATGGCAAAGAGCAGCGCTCATGTTACAGTGAAAGGCTTGAGCATGTTTCCTGCTGGGAGGCTGTTGGAACACAACAAAAGTTTTAAGTAATATAAACAGTGGGTTCTGAGAAATGTGCAAAGTTGAATGGATCAAATGGTAAGTATCCTAACAACGGACTAGCCCGTGTTGCAGTCACTTGGTAACCTGCCAGGGAAGGGCCTGCCAAGTGGTGAGAGGTGCTCATGGCTTCCTTAGTCCTTGGCTTTCCAACCAGCTGTGTTTGTATCATGAAAAGTTCTGCCAAGGGA